ATGAGGCCACACCATGACCGAACATCTATGATGTTTCTTGGCGTAGCGAACTTTCTGATCGCCTCCAAGAGTCGTGGGCATGGGCGGACTGTTGTGGCTGATATCTCAAATCCAGCAAATTCAACGGTGTCAGCAGCGAACACGAATGTCTCGGGGTTTAGGATGATGCCATTTCCCCCGCAGACATCTAGCCAGTGGTGTCGGACCAAAGCAGGGCATCGTCTACGCATTTGGTTTTATTGGTGATGTCTGACACGATCTCGTCGTAGCGTCTGGTGTAGCCATCGCTGGACGCGAGGTAACATTGGGGGGCAAATTTATACCTGTACCTACCCCTTGGGGTTATGAAGGCGGTCAGGTGTACATCATCCTCATGTAGCTTGACGCTGTGATACCCATTCCAAGCGTCGAGGACTGTCTTTTTCGTGTTGTGGGGTACTGACCTTGTCTGTAGGGATGGTGAGGCTGTGTGGTGCGTTTCCCTTTTGGCGTGTTTGTTCAGTGCCTGGAAGTCGACGGTTCTGCGAGGCTTACCGTTTTTCTTTGGGGCAAACAACCATTCTGTGACACCCTGTGACAGGTTCTCCTATAGGTACTGGCTGAATCACTCCGAGCTTGACGTCTTGGTCTAAGCCTGCCTTTATTTCATCCTTCCAGTGCAAGGGTACAGAGAGTGGGATGTGGTTGGCCAATGGCTTAGCTGTGTGGTCTATCATCAGGCGGAGCGGAGGACCATGCATCATGGGTAGCTCTTGATGTGTGCATGTGTTGAATGTGGAGGATGCATATAGTTCCTTCAAGTACCTCTCGACTCTGCCTCTATTTTCCAAGGTAGCCTTGAATGGCAGCTCCGTGGGAGGTTTGGGTGAGGGGAGGCGTTGTGGGCATCCACAATGGCTAGTGCTTGTGGAAGCTGAGTGCTTAACTTCAGCATTGGCGGATGGGATTTGCTCCCCAATTGTGGTAACTTGTCTGATAATATACCCAGACCAATGCATGCCTGTTTGCTCAGGTATAGTTTGTGTGTGTCATTTTTGAAGTATACAACCTTTGGGGTTTGACGGTGCCCGTCATTTTGTGCTTTCCCCGAGATGCGGAGTACAAGAGCCCCAAGGATGCGAATACGTTCGCCATTAGCAGCATTCATTTGCCTTGTGACAGGTGTAAGATGGCCCGTGTCCAATCCAAGCTTTTGCAGGAGTTCGACTCCTGCGAGGCTGGATTGGCAACCAGTGTCGACCATGGCCTTGCAACGTATTGCACCTATGCCCTTGGGAGGGGGTGAGAGACCTCGTGTGTCATAGTCAGACGTCTCCAAATGAATAGCTATATCAATAAATTGCTGGGGGTCGGATTGCCTCCGTTCCCGTTTTTTACACATGTCATTGTAGACTTGGTCTTCAAGTTTTATGACAATCTCCCTAATGGCATCGTTGCCAGTGTTGACACATTCAAATGAGCACAATAGATCAACACAGCCGTCAGCATTATTGTTTATAAAGTTCACTGTTGCTGGTGTTTTCGTTCTTGCGCCGCCGCGACATACATTTTCAAAGTGTCCCTTGATTTTGCACTGTTTGCAGATGTTGCTGAATGCAGGGCATGTCTTTTCCCCATCACGTCGTCTTGTGCCGTGGTTCTCCCTGCTGCCAGAATATCCACATGGCTTCTGTTGTGCGTGGTAGCTGTTGATGGCTGCTGTGGAAGTGCATGGGATGCTGCCGGGGAAAGCCACTCTCATGGAGGCGCTGGGCTTACCTTTTGCCGCTTTCCCTGGCCTCAACGAACCTAATGGTGGCCTCAAGTGTCTTGTCCTGATCTTGGTCGTCCAGGATTTCCAACTGGATGTCCGCATCTACTATGCCTCTAACGACTGAGTCTCTCAGTACATAGTCCGTGTATGGGACCTCGGTGGAGCAGTTGGGTCATGATATGTTGTATTTGCAAACGTCAGCTTGGCCCCTGAGATGAGCGGTGAAATTCCTGATAGGCTCATCCCTGTCCGGTCTCATATTGAGTTCTACACGAGAAACCATTATGTTTTCTTGGTGCACTGCCAGTTTCTCGATAGCCGGAAGATTGTCTCTTCACTTTCGCTCCGGAGGGAGCCGCCATTGGTGTGAGTTAAGTCTTTGCGTAGAAGCTTTCCACAACACTCAAGTAGCTGCACAGCCGCCTCTGGTCCTGAAAGACCTGTTGCTGCCTTGTAGTATGCCCATCTTGATTTGAAATAGACCCAGTCCTCTGATGTCCCACCTATGGAGACGGTCGGTCGTCGCACTTTCTCTACTGTAGGTTTCGATGAATGGGCAGTAGTATTGGTGTCATGCTCCTTACTGTGGAGTTGGAGGAGCACAACAGCAAGTTCGACAGGCGAGTCAGCTGGGGTTGAATAGTCACAGGTAGAGATTGGGCATGAGGTGGCAGGTATTGTAAATGATGAGGTGAAGGGGCCTCAAGTTGTGGTCGGGGCTATGGGCAATGGTGGGTCATCGATTAGTGATGGGGGCTTGAACCTCGTACTCTAATCATAATGAAGTATGATGATGCTAATTTGTTTCTCAACTCTCGGACGTTTATTACATCCAAGCAGGAGCAATGATCAGAGTACCCGAGAGACAATGACATGGCAATATGTTAGACAATACAGAAACATAACATACTCTACTAGTGTGGACGTGGGGGGAGGGGGAGGGTGGCGTTGGGGGATTTTTTTTTGTTTACATGAAGGATTTTAGTTTTTACTTTAAGTGTGACTATATGCAGAATAGGTTACTGCCAAAGTCGAGCAGTCTTGTTTTCTCGCAGTACTTTTTGAAGGCATTTTCAAATGAAGTATAGTCCGGGAACGTTGCCTCAACCACAATTGAAGTATCTGAATATTCAAACATTTAAATTTGAAAATCTCTACATCTAGCTCTAGAAATTGAATTCGATGCAAAAAATGCTCCCTCCCAGTCCTCGTAAAATGGCAGAATGAAAGATGACACCGAAATCTCTCAAATAACCCAAAAATCTCGAGAACGGAAACCGTTCTGAGAAATAGAGGTCAAGTTTATTTTCCCGAGCGTTCAGAGAAATAGTCACTTCGTAATAATAATTTTATAGTATTATAAGTACAATAACAGAATAATCAGTCGAAGTGACTATTCGGACTCGAGTCTGAATAGCCTCCCGTGGCTATTCGGACTCAATCTCCAATGCGCTTTACTTTGAATGGCTGCCTTTTGTTCCGTTTGGAAGGGTTTTAACTTTTCTCTTCTTTTAATTTCTAACTGGACTTCCAATTATCAATAATTTTATCTTTCTCGTCAAATAAAGCCTGTTAAGACTACCTCTTGATACTTATAATCCTTTGCTGTTCTGAAATTTTGATTTTCCATTTGTTTCACTGCTTTAAGCTCAGATTGCTAGTTCCATGTTTGCCTTTGTTGTGTAGTATTTCAGATTCAAAATCAGTATAAGAATGGCAGTGAACTTTGTTGGTTAATTAGAAAGTCTTCAGAATAATTGTACCAGATTTTGATGTTATTAAATTTTTTTATTAGGGGCTTTGTCAGCCCAAGCTTGAGACCTGGGTTCAATTCCTGTGTGGCGAGAATTTTTGACAAATATCTGCTGCGACAGAAACCGGTCATTTCGTTACACGGTCATCTCGTCACATCCAATTATGTGTCACGAAATGACTTCGCCCATCTCTCCAAAATCGTTATGCTAGTAGAGTTTTGGAGGAACATTGCCAGCAGTCTTTATTCTCGAAATCAATGGGCCGTGCCCTCTTGTTTTTGAGTAATTTAAGCCTTTAACTGCCCCCCCCCCCACCAACCCAAAAATAACAACTCAACAAAACTCACCCAGTTATAATATAATGGTGTCGCTGATCAGGTAAGCATGACGACTTGCAACCCCCAACACCCTTCCACACACCACCTAACCCTCCTAAAAAAATCATGATTTGCGATTGGCATGACAATGTGTGTTTGATGTACGCAAGTGTGGGACGAAATGACCATCTCCATTCAACCTTGTGGATTTGGGGTGTGATGAGATGACTGTGACGTCTTTACTGCACCGGTGTGACGAAATGACCGTGTGATAAAATGACTTTTACTCTCTAGGACGTATCTCTTCAGCCTGGGTTTGGACAAATCTAGAGTTCTTAATGTCCTCTATGTAAGTGTTCTCCCACAATACAAAAAAACAAGAGGTCTATGTCTGAAGGGCAGCTGCTATTTTTAATGTCTCAAGGTTAAAAAAAAACCCCACCATCTGAGTAAGGCACACAGTACTTTTCTAGCTTTACTTTTTGCCTGTGAATGTTGGGGTTTTATTTTATCAGACAGGTGAGTAGAACCATATGGTTGTGTTGTATTTCTAAAAATTATTTTAAGAGCTTGAAAGCTTATGCTCTTGCAGTTATGCAAGTCTCTACACTGCTAAAAGTGTCATGCAATTGCTCCTTACCTTGTATGTTATTTTTGGTAAGCTCCCACTGGATGAGCATAATAGGGAGGAAAGGGGGGGAGATATAGAGATAATGAGGAAGAGAGAGAGAGAGAGAGAGAGAGAGAGAGAGAGAGAGAGAGAGAGAGAGAGAGAGAGAGAGAGAGAGAGAGAGAGAGAGAGAGAGAGAGAGAAAGAGAGTTAAAGGGGTAGAGTTGCAGCCAGTACATTCTTTATGCTGACTGGTGGGCAGAGAGGCATGGAAAAAGTAGTTTGTTTCAGTTCATCTTTACCCACCTTTAATGAGTCTCTGGAGAGCGAAAGTGTAGTGTCATGCTCACTTGGGATCAGTTGGTCTGTCAATCATGAAACAACTCACATAATTTGATGTCAAAACCTCACATATTGTTTGAGACAATAGATGTTTTGTTTTGTGTGAGAGAGAGACTCACAGATGAAACAACTATCTGTCTTATGTGAACACACTTTTTATTGAACTTTTGACATGCGGTACTGACCACTTGCTACTATTACTATTACTTTTCTGTATTCAACAGGCAATATCACCTCCATCTTTTTCCTTGGGCCGGATCAGTTTATGTGTAGAATATGGGCGTATACAGTAGCAGTTTTGTGGTGGATCCAAAGTCAGATGTCGCTGTCTCTGGATTTTCTCATCCAAGCAAACCAAACTGGATCACAGCCCATGCTGTATCTACAGAGTGTAAGTACTCTTATAAATACATTCCTCTACTTCAGGAAGAATGATACAAGTGATCGAACCTCTGTGCTTACATGAATATAACATTCATAAAAACTGCACAAAATCAAGTTGGTGTCGGTTTAGTTGAAAGTTTACCATGATGTTTATGGTTTAGTTGATGGTCCATCACTGAACCGGTCTGACAACTGGTTTAGTTGAAGTTCTACAACAAAGTTTCTGTTATACAGGCTTAAGACCATCATTGGCCATGTTAGAAATGTTTGGGGGGGGGGGGGGGGGCGGGAAATTTTTAGGAGGGGTTTCGTTGGGGGGGGGGGGGCTGCTACCCTTATTTCTTGGAAAAGTTCCTATCCACTTGCTGTCTCAACTTACTTGTCACCACAAAATCTTTTTCCCTGAAAGATACCACAAAATGGTCTATACCACATACCCACACACCGCAAATATGTAAAGCCTCTACTTTTGGTCCAATTCCCCCACCGCTGTCGTTGCCGTGGCCAATCAGGCAGGATTTTGAAAAAAATTTCACATCTCACTAAAGTTCCAGTAGCAAAAAATTTACAGGAAATTGCCATTCAAGATAACAAGAGCACGTCGCCAAGAGCCTCCATATTATGACAGTCTTTAAAGGGATTCCATCTTTCCCATGTGGGTTCTCTTTGAAATAACCCCCCCCCCCCAAGATTGTAGAGTTTTCTTTCCTATCAAGAAGCTGTTTTGTTTTTTGTTTTTTAAAGTGTTTTACAGTGCTCACAACTGCATAATGTCATACGAGCGCAGAGGACACATTCAACATTTTTAGTTTGATAGGAATTAATTTTGAATTTTGTTCTGGTGGCAGCCTAAGCCTACTCTAAGCGATTTTGGACCACCAAGGTTTCTTTAATGTGTGCAATTCCCCCCCCCCCCCCCCCGACCTCCGGGATTTTTCACCCTTATCTGAGAGGGCTAGGTGTTAAATCTTACTTAACTTGAGATCAGGGGTGTTAAGAATGAGCCAAGGAGTCAAGGAGTATCAATAATAAGACTGCAGAAAGAGTCAGGAGCCCAGAAGAGGGGACAAAAGGGGGGGGGCAGAAAATGGAGATGAAAGCAGATGGCAGAACATGGTCAGAGAGCAGGAAAAGAGGTGAAAGAAGAAAATAAAAACATTTTCTGTCGCTGTCAGGTTTTGAACCCGGGACTGAGAGGTGTTTTATGTAAAACGTTGTAAATCATCCTTTTGGCAAGGTCCATACTTAAAGTGAAATTGGTCAGTGCTAAGGAACTGAACTTCTGGTGTCAGTGAGTTAATATCCTCAGATAATGATGCGAGATAAGGGTCCATCATATAAGCCATGTTAATAATTGACAACCCCACTGCCAAGGTTTTGGTCAGTAGTAATCAGTTCTCCTGATCTTGACCCAGGTCCAGTTTTTGATAATGGCATAAGTAATCTCAGGCTAAGGCCTTGAAAGACGAAATGATAATGGGGATGCTAGGGCCTATTCTTGTTAAAGCGGATGGTCGTAATGAGTTGAATTATTTAGCATCTCTAGAGAAACGTCAAGGTCGAATATTGAGCCCCTTCACAGCTGAAATGTTTGTTGGAGATTTAGAAACACATTGAAGTTGGTGAAACGGGATGTAATATTAATGATGATTGTGGTCAGGAGGAAAAAGAGGAGCAAGAGGCCTGATGTAAAAAAACCAAAAACAAAACAAAAACAAAACCACAAAAAACGCCTAACTTAAATAAAAAATATCCATTTTCATGTCAGCTGTACATTTTCTGCTCTTTTGTATGTACTTTTGTGAATATACATGTGCGTGTGTGTAATTGATATTGTGTGTTAACGTCCCTTTCAACACTGTTATTCAAGAGACGAGACCACCAAATTTAAAGTACGTGTATATATCTATCCGACAGCACCGAGCCATGTAGGTGGAGAGCTTTGACAACTCACCAAACAAATCAAGTGCATGAAGCATCATTCGCATCATAGTCCGTCATGATACAAATTGAGTCATTCGCATCATAGTCCGTCATGATACAAATTGAGTTAAACGGTGCACCAGAGAGAAGGGGGGGGGGAGAGAAAGGGAGGGAGGGAGGGAGAGAGAGAGAGAGGGGGAGAGAGAGAGAGAGAGAGAGAGAGAGAGAGAGAGAGAGAGAGAGAGAGAGAGAGAGAGAGAGAGAGAGAGAGAGAGAGAGAGAGAGAGTACTGCGTGCAGGAGAAGACAGAGAGACAGAAAATCGGTCGAGATGACCCTAGTGTCTCCGTAGAATGTGAACCTGATCCTAGTTCGACATCTGACGAGTTCATGATATTTTACTTCTTATCACTACGTTATCTTCTTCCATTCAGCAATTTGTTGTTCTTGAGTCTAAAGGTTCCAAATGCAACAAAAATGGCAATATTTTTTATGGGACCTTTTCACTCTACGCCTGGTAGTTAATTGAACGATATAATTATTGATCTTGTTCTGTATTCTAGACGCTAATAATAATATTGTCCTGTACTTGCCATGTTCACAGTTCAGTTTCCAGGTCTCTCTCTCTCTAAGACATAATTACGCTTGCCGCTGATTATACATAACGTAATACGTAGGCTCACTGCCGCCTGTCAAATACCGCATTTTTTGGCCGCGTTGATTTGTACAATTATGAGGTGCTTTTTAAAACTGAAATTGCAAGATCATTTATATTGTGCGTTTGAATTTCCCAAGAGCTTGAGAAAAATTTGTAATTATTAGAAACGTTAAAAATCAAAATCGTGTTGCTTCTTTTGCAAAAATACACGTTTTTGACTTGTGTCTGTAAAAAATTTTTTAATGTTCACGTGGACACCCGTTTTCGACCTCTAACTTTGTCATTGAAGACCGTTGTGTCCTATCACGCGTTAACCTATTGGTTATCCACAAAAGGTCACACCGAGGCCGATTTGTTGTGATATCAGAATATATCAATATTATTATGTTATGGGTGTCTTGCCGACCTCATCAGTTGTCAAATGTCCCTGGTTTGTTTTGCTAATCTGTTCTGTTCGCGGGACAGATAAACGCGTATTATAGGTCTACGGCAACAGATGGCAGATGTTTAGATGCCAATGTATCGATTCTTCCAAGTAGGCTGTATCCCTATGTGCCTGCCATAAACATTGTCCTCAAAACGTGCCTGTCCTGTAATCTTTTCCCAGTTGTGTCCAAGTTGTGCACAGTTTCTTTGCATTTGCATCTCTCTCCGCCATGTTCCTCTTTATTGTCTCTCTTTGTTCACATGGCCTGGCGATTACATCTCAGTGCATTTCTGGTTACACTGACTTGTCAGTTTTCTTTTCTTGGTTACTTTTGTCATTGATTGATTTAATCTATGCCCGATCCATCGCCTTCTTCCTTTCTCTGTTTCACTTCATTTTCTAGCTTTATATCGTGTTCACTCTCTTATGGTTCCCTTGTAGTGATAGATTCAAATGTATCTGGCCACAAATCAGTTCTGTTTCGGGCGTCCTCCCAGCATCTTTGTTAACCTCTAGATCTCTAGGTCTCTTCTTCATACAGTAAAATATTGCACGCTAGAGTCCTCATACCTTACCTCACCATTAATAAAAATTTCTCTAGGCGCCCGGCTCTTAATTAAATGCGTAGAGCGTTAAAAAATGCGTTAAAGCCCATACCACACCATATCCTCAGGAGAGCCAGCTGTCTGGAGTTCTAGCCTGCCTAGTGTATACATATTGTACCTATCGTATTTCGTATTAACCTTCATTGCGTTTGTGGCTTTTGTATTTGAGCTACTGTTGTGGTAATGTGAAAACAACTTTAAAAATGATAATGATAGAACTTAAAGGTTCCTCCTCTAGATGATATTCCCCAACTAACAAATGGAGACAGTATTGAAGAACTCTAATATTTTTTCCTATCAACATCCCTTTTACATCATACAAAGACATTCATGACTTAATTAAAACTCGGTGTTCTTTCGTTCAGTAATCTTTGTTTATTGTTGAGCTTATAGATCTGCATCACCTCCTTTCAGTGGAACTAGCAACAATACCAAACAACTTGAAATCATTTCTTTTGATATTCAAAATGCTAATTAATAACGACACACTTCTTCTAGCCGCACATTGCCATTCGTCCTATACAACATCAATATAGCCTGGGATTCAGTCAGTGGGGCCTCTCTGTGCCACTTCAGGTACACAAATATTTCCCTTTTTTTCACATGTTTTTGGCATCCTGTCTTTTCCTACACATTTTTTATCGCCATGTGTGTTTGTCAAAACTTTTCTTGTTAATTTCTGTTTACTTTATTATTATTATTATTATTATTATTATTATTATTATTATTGTTATTGTTATTGTTATTATTATTATTATATTGTTATTATTATTATTAT